CTTGTTTACCTTCAAGCCTTTAAGACCCCAGACACTATACTTTTTGATTGCCGGGCACCATCAGCTTTCTTCGCCACATTTGCTTATGCACCCATTTGTCTTTAGTGATCCCTTCGACACCTCATGATCACACAGGCTGATGTGTTCTTCCATGTGGGCTTTGTTGTTTCTGAGTCAGATGGCTGCTTGTTTACCTTCAAACTTTTAAGACCCCAGATGCTATATCTTTTGATAGCCAGCACCATCAGCTTTCTTCACATTCGCTTATTCACCCACTTTGTCTTTAGCAGTTGTGTAGGGAAGGTGAGCATCATAGAATGCCAATTTAATAGAAGAAAGTATTCTTGCATTGAGGGAGTACTTGAGTGGAGGCCCAATGTCCAATACTAAACCTATAAATATAGGCACATAGATCTATTTCCCCATCCTCATGTATAAATATATTTGCATATGTACATGTCTTTATCTAGACAAAAGGTCATTTCTTAAGGAGCCCTGTAGTTTTCTGCTTTGTTCTGTTGTGGTTTCAGCTTTGGGTTCTCATCTGATGGAGGCACCAAGAGGAAATAACCAAAAGGGTGCTCTCAGCAGGCTTATCAATCCATTCTGACAAGAGCTGACCTCTGACTACCCTCAGAATGATTGGGGATAGTGAAGCTTGAGAGACACAAAAAGAGGAATCTTACTGGGGATGCACCCCGTGGGGGTAAAAGTGAAAATTGACTGGTGTCTCGATAATTGCCTATGAGGATATGCGGTTCTAGAGTTTGGGTAGGAAAACTAGTCAAGAATTAGTCATACTACATGCTCTAGGGAACTGATTCGGGACAAAGCTGGATAAGATGATCTTTAGATCCCTATCAAACTGGAGTCCAGATTTTTGAGTTCTTGTGTTCTGTGATATACAGATAACACTTGGGCTGCATGCAGTCTTTAAGAATTTCTGATTCTTCAAGGGTTTATGACTCTCTATGGAATCTCCCAAATCCTCCTTTCATACCACCAAGTTGTTCTCTAGAAAAATGACTTCCCTATGTAGCACAGTGCCTTCCAAAAGATGAACGATGTCTTTACCTTGCAGTGAGGTTTCAGATATGACCCGAGGCCCCTGAGTCAATTCCGACACCTACAGACCCGGAAGAGCAAGTAGAACTGCGCCCCGAGGTTTCCGAGGCTGTCAACTTTTTGGGAGCGGACGAACCCATCTTTCTCCAGTAGAACAGCCGTGCCTTCAAACTGCTGGTCTCGTGTGCAGCAGTCACAGCATGGCGAAATGGTGCCAATTCATGAAGATAGCACAGGCTAACTTTCATCAGGCTAACCACCATGGCAAGGGGGATTCATCGACATTTGGCATATCATATATCCTGGAGTATAAGCTGACCCGAATATCAGCCAAGGCACCTAATTTTACCACAAAACTGCATAAAAATGTGAAAAGCTCGGCTTATACATGAGTATATACGGTAAATCTGCCTTGGGAGAAGTACAACCAGAAGGTGCCTCAGAAGTGAGGGTGGCGGGGCTTTGTCTCACGTGTGCTGGACATGTCACCAAGAGAGACCAGTCTCTGAAAAAGTATATCATGCTCCATAAAAGGATATAAGCTCAGTAAAGTGGAGGGGCAGCAAAAGGAAGACATTGGACAAGATGGCTTGACACAGTGGCCGTAACAATGGGCTCAAAGCTAAGAATGATTGTGGGGACGACACAGGAGTATGGTGTTCTGTTGTACCCAGGATTCCTATGACTTGCACCTACTGGATGCCCCCGAACAACATTTAGCTTAGTCATTATGAAAACAATTAGTCTACTTTAATAACTCCAACCAATGCTGGATGCTTTGTTGGCTGCATATTTTCTAAGTTTCTGTGGACTCTGCTCTCATCTCTAGAGCACCCTCCTTCCATCATCGTCTTAAATGTTACCTCGCCACCTCTCAGCTAGACCACTGCAATGCCCTCTTTGTGTACCCTATCTCCGCGACTGGGCTGCTCCGCTAGCTTGTTCGCCCTGTGTCCAGCTTCCCCTGGACAGCACGTCACCCTGACGCTTCTCTACATCGGTGAGACTTTTCAGCAACTTCTCTTGGCTTTTACAGAGAGCTTTTGATGAAGCTCTGGCCTCCCTCTTGAGTTAACTCCTGCTGCTCCCTGCTAATTCTCTGAGCTTTCTCTTCGTTCCGTGAGCACACGCTATCATCACAAACTATAGTACATTCTGCACACGGAGTAAATTCAATCTTATTTTCTTCCCTCCGTTCATACTCCCGCCTTCCATTAGTCAATTCGTAGTCATCCTTCATATTGCAGCTTGTGTGTCATAACTCTGTCATGGGTTCTTACTGTTCCCATGCACCTTCCTATTGTGGTCTCTAGGACTAATAAGGGCCTCCTCTGCTAGATAAGCTTCATGGGGCAAAGGAACCATATGAAGTCAGAAAGGAAAAAATACAACAGACATAATTTAATTTACCTAAGTACTACCTGGGTTCATATATTGCCTTTACTACTGAGTTGAGTTGTTTTTGTTTGAACTGTCTAAATTCTACATGCTTTTTTTTTTTTAACAAAGCACATACTTCTTACAATACCAAAGCCTCTTTTAGAGGAAAACTTCATCAGCAAATCCATTAAGTGATTTTTCCTTAGCATCCTGAGACTCTTTTATATGAGTTGTCCCAGTAAGCAATTGTCAGCAGATCCACTAAGCCGGTATCACCATGTTTCAAATTTCCCTTTTCTCTATTTTCTTAGAGAGAATTTAAATATCACTGATGTGCAGAAATCTCATACAATTTCAATTCAATCTCAAAACTCAGTGATTCATGAAGTACGCTGACTTGATGAATGGGTTACAGCATTTTTCCCTCCCGAAGGAGGTCCATGCTGGGAAAAATGAAACATCCCAATTCCCATGAATGGAAACTGAGCTGAAAAGACAACGATAGCTGTTGAAGGTTACAGAAACTGCCAGGAATTTCTAAAAGCAAAACAGGAGTGGGCTGCCTGACCAATGTGCCTCTTTCATGTATAGTACTGATATCTAAAAGCCATGGAATTGCTAATGGGAAGGGGCATTTTTGCTGATATTTATTTAGCCACTCTTATAGGGTATATTACAGAAGAGCCGAAGTAGAGGAACACCCACTTTATAAAGCTGGATTCCAGTGCAGATGGATTTGTGGGCTCTACACATAGTTTCCATCTTTTCGAGGAGGAGGTGAGGTTTATTATCGTCTTTACTAAGGATCATGAGCCCACATCTTTCCTCAGTTATGAGAGCACGAACCCGAATCAAATGTGCTGAGTGAATGGTAGTGAAGATGGTTCGGCACTCAGCTACTACCCCAAAGGTTGGCAGTTTGAATCCCTCCAGCAGCAACTCCTGAGAAAGACTTGAGAATCTACTTCTGTAAACAATACAGCCAAGACCCCCTGCGGGGGAGCTGTCGTCGTCTGTCACATGGGGCTGCTAGGAGTTGAAAGCAATGTGACAATGCCTAACAGTATAAGCGCCTGCTAGGAGTCCGAGATGGTATATAGAGCATCCCTGAATCATGTCTTCCGCCAGCAATCCAGTCATTCATTTAACAATTGTTGAGCTCCTACTATAGACTGTTTTAAAAAGAGGTCACAGACTAATGGCAGACCTAGGAAGATCAGTAGAAAATAAAACACAAAGAAGAAAACACCCCATTGTAGTAACTGCTAATTCTTCTTAGAAGGTCCCTCTAAGGAATACTCATGTAGACATCTCAATTGATAAGGACCACAAACCTCTTTTCCACCACCCTTTCTGCACTAGCTCAGCTAAGTTCAGTTTTTAACAGCTCCTTCCTTTCCCACCCATCACCAATCAGCTTCAAACGGATTCAAACTCCTGTAGTAACACTGGAGGACTGAGGGGAACTGCTCCAGAGGGTTTCCATGGCGCACTTCACCCCCTGGGCCACCAGGGCCCTGTCCTCCTTCCACACGCAATCAAACTCGCAAGACCGGTCGCTTTAGGAAGGCTGCCAGTACTGCTCTTGTCAGAAATATTCCACACACTCATTCACTTCAGCAAGTGAGCTTCGTTGTGCTCCTGAGCATTAAAGAGGTTGAGCAGCCCTACAGGGTATATTCAGTAGGTTAAACCAATATGATTTGGTTTTCAAAAAATTCCTTTATATTCACTTAAGTTTAAAAGCCAACTCCATTGTCGAGTACACTCGGGACGCAGGCGCGTGAAGGTGATGCAGGACTGGGCAACGTTCCGTGCAGTTGTACACAAGGTCGCCATGGGTTGGGGACAACTCAACAGCAACCAGCAACAAGGCTGTGTGTCTGGCGTCAGAAGCGTGTCCAAAAGAACCTCAAAGAAAGCCCTCCCCTCACTGTTTTTTAGAGTGGACCATTGGCAAATGCTTGCTAAACTGTCATACACCACGGGGGGAGAACGTCTCCAACTACAGTGTGTGTAGTGATTGGAATTTCCAAAGTCAAGTAATCAAAGTACACAACAGAGAGTCTAAAAGTCTGCGGTGGGAGGATGGTAAACCTGCACAGAAGCAGGTTCCAGAAGCAGCGAACACAAAGCAAACCTGTGAAGAAAGTACAATTGGTCTGTGGATCCCTTTAATCCTCCCACTAACGCTCAACTAGATACTTCCCCTGCCCATCTTCATTCACACCGTAACATATATTTACTGAGCTGTCACTCTCTGCTCAGATGCATTCTAGGTACTTAGGATATGACAGTGGGTGGGGAGAAACAATCCAGATATTCTGTCATTGTTGGAAACAGATACATAGTTTCCATCTTTTAGAGGAGCAGGTGAGGTTTCTTCATCCAACAATGTTCTATCCATTCATCCATCCTTCCATCTATCTACCTCTATCAGTGTTTACCTGAAAATACGCTCAGCACCCAAAAGAGTGATGTAGAAATCTAGCATGACATCCACACGACTATTTGTAAAGACGGTGAAAGGAGCAGAAAACGCTAATTGATCTTACCTTGTAGGGAATTGAAGATCGAGAAGAGGTAAGTGAAAGTGACCTTTAGCGGTCCCCAAGCAAAGAAAGCAAAACCCCAGGTCATGCCCAGCAGAAACGTCAGGCTAACCACACTGCGCAGGTTCCGCAAGACTTCTTCTCTCAGCGTCCGGTTGCTTCTCTTGCCATTCCTCCCACAGATCTGCACCATCACCACAATGAACATGGCCACATTCAGGAAAAACACGATTCCAAAGTATCCAGCACAGGTCACGTAAAAGACAACCGGGTCATGAATCCAGCAGCTGAGCACAGAAGGGGAAACGAGAAGGAAAAAGATGCATGGCCACATCCTGTTTGCTCAAGACGTGTCCTGGCTTCATTTACAAAACGACAGATTCCGCCACTGGGGCTCTTTACTGCTTTGCCAAGTTATTTTGCTGCCCTGGGTCTTAATTTCTTCTCTAATTACTTTGATAAATGTCTTTCCTTTCCTCGCTTCCATTCTCCTCTCCTTCCCTTTTCCTTCTTTCCCTCAGCAGCCTTGTCCTGGCAAGAAAGGCCAGGGGAGACGCAGGTTTGGGGACCTGCTATTTTCAGCTACAAAATCGAGGTCACTGATTGCCAATGATTTTGTGTTTCTTATCATGTGAGAAATGAAAATTCCTACTTATTTTCATGACACCCACACATGTAGGTTCCATGACTGGAGATGGCCTCCTTCCGACAGACAGAGTTGGTCTCGGTGAGGAAAGCCTTAATCTGCTGTTGTTAGTTGCCCTGCGGTTGGTTCTGGCGCATTGTGAGCCCACGTGCAGCAGAGCGAAACCCTGCTTCCTCCTGCCCCATCCTCCCAGTCGGCATGTTTGAGGCCACGGTGGAAGACACCCTGGTTTCATTATGCAATGGTTTTATTATAGAACTGTGCTATTCTAACCCTGAAACGTCTCACATACAATATGAATTTTACATCCTTTACATCCTCCTTGTAGAGCAGCAAAACAGAAGGTTAGACATTTGAATGATAAAGAGGTCGGGTACCAGAGGAAAGTAATTTCAAAAGTGTACCCTGTGTAAAGTGTACTATGAAGAAACTTGACACTTGACACATACTATGATTTGACCATTACCCTGTGCTAATTACTCCTACAGAAACGCTTATGTACCTCAAAAATTAGAAGATTATGTATAGCAATTGAATGGTTCTTTAAATTTCCACTGTACTTGGAAGGCGAAGTTCAAATATAAATTGGGTAATACCATCCATGCTAGAACTTGACACCCACAGAAGAAAAGGCTGTGTCTGAAAGATCTTTGGAACCTAGGACCTAACACGGTGCCTGTCATATCATACATGTTCAATAACGACCGCTGTCCTAGCTCTAGCTCACTGCCCTCAAGCCCCTGTCGAGTCACAGAGACTCTACAGACAGGGAAGAACTGCCCCGGTGCATTTCAGAGACAGTAACTCTTTACAGGAGTAGAAAGCCCTGTCTTTCTCCCTTGTAGGGGCTGGTGGCTTTGAACTGCTGACCTGGAAGACAGCAACCCAACACCTAGCCACGCTACCACGAGGCCACAGCCCTATTAACACTTAAGAACAGGGTGAGAGCAAGGGTTGGGGGAGGAGGGAAGACCAAAAATATGGTTGGTTTAACAGGAAAAACTAAAAGAAAACAAAATTAAGTTGAAACAACAACAACAAAACCCCTCCAGATTCCTTACCCCTCAGATCTAAATACTGGTCTGCGTGTCTAAAAAGGAAGGAAAATACAACTGCAGTGGACGTGACGTCTTTAGAGACGTCCCAGCTCATTTCAAACAGACAAAAATAATACTAGTGAAATAAAATTCATTTTTTACAACACATTGACTGCTATTATAAAATAGCTTATGAAACATGGTCTCCAAACAGACACTACCTGTCCTGGCATGAACTTTCCGTTACACATGGAAGTCCTCTGGCATCCCTGACGAACTGCCTTTGTTTCTCCTGAGGTCTTACCATGGAAATAATAACAACAACAAAATTTTAATAACAAAAAAAGAAAGACTAGGAGGGCCTGGGACACAGATTGGCTATGAAAGCCTTATCCGTGTATGAGATGAGATGTGCGTAACAATGGAGCACCACGGAGAGAATTTCAGGATTACACTTTATATTCATTCAAGTCATTGGTTCAATCCACAAAACTTTCTTGAGCACCTACCATGCACTAGAGAAACTAAGAGCCACTAGCTGCCAAAAATGAGTGTCATGCTTTTGTCTCAATTGTAGCATAGCCGATGGGAACCTTCCATATTGTTCAGGAACGCCCTGGTTGCTACATCCTGCATTTCACTGTCCACTCTCGGGAACTACTATTAACTCCGCTGCAGATTTGTGTGGGTTTGAGGGGTGGCGATACTAAAGGAGCTCCTTAAACAGGACAGGTCTCTGTAGCTGGAAGCTAAAACCCAGACAACTGTGAATTTGCCCAGCTGGCACTGGGCACGTTACAATGGAAAAACAACTCGCCCACCCATTTCAGGGCATTCATTCGAACTAGTCTCTGGTGGTGCACAGGCCTTAGGAAAGTCAAAGCCATCAACTTCAACTCTTTAAAACGAGAGCTTCCCTGCTGCCTGGGGAACATCGACTAAAGGTTAGGAATCTCAGGACACGTGCTGGGCACGAGCACCTGTCCTTCAGGGCCTTCCCTACTTACAATTCATCACCTTCGTAGCTCTCCTTTCGGTAGACTTCACTGTGGTTTGTGCTCACCAGGACCACGGCCACCACGAAGGCAGGCAAACCTGTGAGGAAGAGACCAGGAGGTCAACCACCCCGCTGGAGCTCCGGGGCAGCTTTCTAAGAGGGGGGCATGGGGGGAGGTGGCAAGGGGAACGATGAAGGAAGACACTCAACATCACACAACTCCATGTTTCTTAGAAGCGGAAAGCTGTTTAACAACAGAAAACCCCTTCCTGGCTGGGGTACATCCAACTTTAATGTGCAACAAGTTAAAGTAACCCCTCCAAAAGAAAACCCCCAAACACCCCCTCCCCAAATAAACACAGTCTTCACACAATTGCTATTCAGTCATTCTGTTTGGTCACTGGTACGCTGCCGTAGAGAATCCAAGTTTGTTCTAAGTCCAAGCCAGCCTAGAGAAGGTGGCTTCATTCCACGAGGCCCTGTCAGATGGCCAGAGGCCAGGCAGCCGGGCCAGCAAAACAGGCCGCTGCTCTGCCTCTTTCCAGCCTTTCGATAATTGGACAGAGGGGGAAGGAAGTACCCAAACTCTTTAGAGTTGTATCTTTTCTCTCAACATCATCTATAAACCATTTCCACAGCTATCTGGGCACAGTTATGCGATGGAACCCGCATTCTTTGAAAGAAAAGCAAACCCACAGAGGGAAGCCCTTCAGCGGCGCGCTAAGGCCGGGCCGCGGGCCGCGGACAGGTCTGCTTGCCAGTTACTTGCACTCCTCTATGGCCAAGTGAAGGGGGGAAAATTATACACGAGAAAGCTCCAAAATTCCTGATCCAATATGAACGGAGAAAGATCAAAAAGAAAGGGCTCAGTAAGGAGATTCCAAACAGGCTAAAGGCAGCGGCACATCGCTGGCTGGAAAACCAATACCCCAAAGCTCACTGCTGTGGAGTTGATCCCAACCGCCCAGGGTAGCTGAGGTTGGAAATCTCTGGGAGCAGAACGCCCCATCTTTCTCCCAAGGCCTGGTTGAGGGCTCACACTGGGCAGAGCACACCAAGAATCCTGCCAGCAGTCTTGCTGCACCCATAAAACCGTGCTCTTTCTCTGGTTTCCAAGACATAGACGCGTCTCGGGGTGAGAGGGAGCAGGCCTTTGTGCTCTGAAGCAGAATGGAAATGCGCCCTGTCTGCCAGCTGCTTCTTCAGACGTGGGTGGGCTGGCTCTGGGCAGTAAGTCTGGGGTGACTCGGGAACAAAGCCTTTTTCTGGACTCCTGACTTGAGTGGTTTAGAATGAAGCAAAACAACAACAACACAGTGCTGAGGTTCCCCTTCCTTCAGATCTGATTTTCGAATCCCCAGCACAGTTTCTCCTAGTTATTCTTTAAACTTAAGGATTTCCCTACGAACGGCTGGTAATTTTAGTAACAAGGGAAAACAAACACTTCAGGCTTACCCCAGCCAACGATGCAGAATTTTAGTATATATCGGCGAATGTAAGTGTTAAAAACTTTCACCAGAGCAATGTACATGTGAATGGCTTCGAGCCCCATCCAGGTAAAGGTGGCCAGGAGGAGAAAATGCAACAGGGCTGCCACCGCTGTGCAAAGCCCGTCCACGTTGAAAGAGGTGATCCAGCCGTCCAAGAGGAAGATGAGGTTCAGGAAGAGCAGCGCTGTGCTCAGGTTCATCAGGATTTTGGAGGGGTAATCCCTTCGCAATTTTCTTCAAAGAGGCGGGGGGAGAGGGACAGATCAGTATTAATAATGCAAACCCACCGTCCATCCCCTCAGCATGAGCTGTGGCGGCTTCCACGCTATTGTGATGTTGGAAGCTATGCACTCGTTATTTCAAAATATCAGCAGGTCCACCACGGTGGACAGGATTCTGCAGCGCTTCTGAGTACGACAGACTACATTTGGCTGACTATCCCAAAGATGAGACAATGAAAGCCTCATGGATCACAAGAGAACACCGCTCAACCCACTTGCTTTGGACAGTTCCACAGGAGGGCTCCATCGCTAGAGGAGGAAAACATGTTTGGGAAAGTGGAGGGTCAGTGCAGGCCAGGGCGACCTTCAGTGAGATGGACTGACACAGGAGATTGAGAGAGGGGACCCTGCTGGCCACTTTGAGAATGGCATGGGACCAAGTAGGTGTCACCTTGTTGTACATAAAGCTGCCAGCAGCTAACAACAATGTTACAAAAAATCCGTATGGCAGAGACAAGGAACCATATCCTGCACAAAGCTTTCCTGGGCAGGGTAGCACCATCTCTAAGCCTGATGCCCCTGGCAGAAAGGTCAGAGAGAGCTATGAGTATTAGGGAAGTTACAAAGACTTTTAAAAATATTAATTTTATTTCAAAACTACTTCCAATGGTTTGTAATATTGCCAGTTGATTCTAACCAATGGATTTTTTTTAATTAAAAAATTTTAATACCCTATCATTACAAAAGTGACATTTTTTTACTCAAGTATTTTTCTAAAACACTTGAAGTTTCCTCACTTTTGAGCAGTTAAGGATCCCTCTTCTCATTGCTTGTTGGAAAACCAACCCTAGAATGTTGTGAGATTTGTGAAAGAACCATTTTCATCTTTCACAATGTAAAAATAGCACTTATAGGACTGTTAGTTAACCTAAATGTTAACATGAACTTCTCACATTTTAAAATGTACTCTACAAAGAGAAATGCTGTACTTATACACTAGGATTCTACTGCTAAAAGTGAACCCCGCCTAATGAGTCTGTGAAGTATATAAATGCAATGAACAGGGAGGTCATTCTCCTATATATATTTTGGAAAATTAGGGCTAGGCTTAACACATAACAAAATACTTACTCAAAAGCAACATATGTTAGGAGAGTTGCTGCTGAAAAAATAGCAGATATTCCACATCCAACATAGCTTATGAAGGTGAGAATTTTAGTGTTTTGTGCATCTATCTGTGAGGCAGCTCCTTGAAGGTCCTACATGGAACAGAAGTGGCTGTCAGGCTTGTTCATTGAATGAGAATGGTGTTCACTTTTACCAGAAAGTTGGTTACCACAAGAGTAGGTTCCACATCTGAGGTTAATAGCAACAGCATAAATCAATATTAAAATTTATACTTACTGTATTCCTCTGGGTCACCACAGGAAAAAGTAGCATTATTGAAATTGAAATAACAATGGAAAAAACACTACTTTGTTATCAAAGCTCTTTCCACACCAGTATAACTGAAAGAAGCACATTGCCCAATATTCCAACAGAAGTTATAGAGGAAGTAGTTGCCTTGAATAATGAATGATCAGGCTTATCCTTAAGACTTTCAGGACTGGGAAAAAGAGTTCAAAGGGAGGCTTCCATGGGCCATATACCCAAGCTCTGATTCTTTGCTCTGAGGGAGGGACTCAACTAGAAGACAGCCAAAGGATGGTGCCGGCCCTGAGGTTGTCTAGCAATGAGGCTCTAACCCATGGCCATGTCAAAGCTTGGTAGGTATGGGGAAGGGCAGTCTTTCTTCCTTTCTTATTACACAAATGAGAATCCATGAAAAGTTTTTAGGTCACAGATTTTTGAACACTATAGACCTGCAAGATGCAGTTTAAAGTGCTAGGATTTGAAGATGGGGGGAAAAAGGTAAACACTGCATTATTAATAAGAAGCATTAATGCCTATCATTGTGCTGAGACAGGGGATGTAGCAAAGCTTGGGAATATTAGTGATACTTCCCCCTTATTGCTTTCTACTACACTGTCTGGAAGCATAACTGAGGCTTTGGGGGCAGGGACATGTGTGCCTGAGGGCATGTTTTCTAACAACCCCGTCTTGGAAATTGATGAGACTACAGCAGCCTGGCTGTGTTTCCACTGAGAGAGAAGGGGCAGAATCCCTCCGTCCCCCCAGTTCTTTCCTCTCAACCATGTCAATGTTTGAACATGGAACCTTCCCGGCGAAAACACATCTTCTAAAAAAAGCATCAAGTTTAAACGTTTAGATCGTTAAAAAAACAATGATTACATTTTATAATGTTTTCCAATTCTGTGTTTTAATGTCCTTTCATTTACACAGAAATGTCCATATAAATCTGCTACCCACAAAATGGGCTGGAGCACAGGGGGTTGTATTTGTGAAGAAATGGGGCTCCGTTCCGGGCGGGCTGCCGCCTTAAGGAACGAGCACAGTGCCGTGACATGGAGATAATGTGCACAGTGATTAGACCCCATGGATTCAGAGGAAACTCTCTGTGGCCTCTTTTCCCAGGAGGGCCAGAGGTTCCCATGCACATTGAATGGGCTTTGAGTCAATGCTATCTGATGCAGAGATAGGGGACCTGCAATATTTTGGTTGTTCCAAGATTTCCTTAGACCAGAGACATAGAATTACAATCTCAAAGGACCACCAAATGACTGGTCACTTCCTTTGGGAGCCCTGAGAAGCCTCTCTAGCTAAGGATGTTGACTTGCAAGCCACTATGAAAGCCAGGTTCAAACGATAAGAGACATAAAACAACCCTGACACACAGTAACGAACCCGCCTCATATTGTTTTGTACTTTCAAAGAAGGAAGAATGCGAACATACTTTTTGCTCTGAAATGGACCACAGGAAAGAGACCTTAAACTATGAAAATCAGCTGGACCATAGAGAGCAAGGGACATTCATTTCTGCCGACCTCTGCCTATTAAGCAATGTAATAATGGGGATGGGTGTGTACTTATGAACATCTCCTATGGTAAATGCATGTTTCAAGAGGTGCGGTAATATTCTGGGAATTGCTTATGCAAATGAATAGAGTCTGTACATCCAGAAAGACTTAAAACATCTAGGTGGTCTGGAAAAGTGAAACGGGAGTAGGCCCATGGCCAGAAAGGATACATTCTGGGAGTTTTCCTTCCAGTAGTTATAATCCTCCCAAAACAGCCAGCATGGAAAGTGGAAGATTATCACTAAGAAAGCATCTCTCCGCACACACAGAAACTTGTTTAGTCATATGGCAGCAGAGAGAGGAAAAATATGGCAAGCTTCCTAACAAAATCTAAATGATATATAAAGAAAAATGACCAAAGTGATGGAAAGTCAAACTTTTGGTTGCATATAAACCCTCTCTCCAAGGAGATGGCTATTTGGCTATTATTCGACTTACTACACATGCAGTCACACACACACACAGACATAAATAAATTCAATGGAAGCTCCTAGACCTCAGTGACTCCACAAGCAAAACTGTCGCCTGAAATAATACCTGCAAGAACTTCAGTAAGAAAAGGAATACAAATGAAAATGGAGTTTCATTTCAATTATTGGGGGAAATCATGCTGCCATTTAATTGTTCACTTCAAACTCTGGTTGTAAAGAACACATATTTCTGAACAAGTTCGTTCCGATGATTTGAGGCCTTTTCTAATGGCTTGTCCTTGTCCTTCCAGGACGTGCATGCTGGATTGTCAGGAAAAGTACAACTTGCCGAGTTGCCATATGACAATGGATATTAACCTAGGCCAAGTAGGTCCCTGAGCCAAATACTACATCCCACAGTTCCGTACTGCTTCCTCCCAGTCCCCCTAGGAGGAAGTATAGAAGATTTAAGGGGAGGGAATAAACACAAACTGGTGTCTGTGAGAGTCATTCAAAATGCATTATTGCCTCAGCACACAGGACACCCATCTGCTATTAAAAACAAACATGGTTTGGTCCCTTTATGGAAATACACAGAAACAGTAGGCATGCTACCCTCCTACCCCACCCTGCCCCCGCCCCAGGATGCACTGAGCATCATGAAAGGGTTCACAACAACCAGAGTGAGACAGATACAAAGGCATAGTATGTCTATGGAATCAAGACACATTCTATTTCCTCCATAGGTATCCAAGGATGAATTTAAATAATTTACTTCCTTTGGCTGGGTCTTGAAATTTACATAGGCTAGACAATCATGTTGATGTGATCCAAGTTTTATATAAATGTTTTGAGGGTTAAAACTGACAGGCTGACCAGTGAGGTAAAAACTGGGCCACAGGAAAGAAATAACGGAAGGAAGGGAAGAGGCCGATGAACGTGGCCACGCCCCATGAGAGGCTCTCCCTGACTCACCTCTCATAGAACTGAAGGTCCCACTCTGACCTAATAAACCCCTCTGCCTCAACATAGGGAACATCCTCTTAAAAGGCGAAACTCGTAAGTCACAGCTGTAGCTTCGAGCACAGTGCCTGGTATAAAGGCATCTTCAAAAACAATGTTAATGACAGAAAAGCACGTTTTGAGCAATGTCGTCAGTTTTCTTTCTTGGTAGTAAAACCCAACATTCCAGCATTTTCCTCTGCTTCCCCTCTCTGTGTGTCTCTCTCCCTACCTCTCTGCCTCAACCTCGGCTTCTCCTCCTCTACTCTCCCCCCTCCCCCTGTCTTTTTTCTATTTCTCCCTTTATTCAAATGGAAGAAAGGATAAAGTTATGGAGCTGAATAAAAAAATTTCTAAGGGGAGCTTGAGAAGACAAAGCCAAATATTGTAACAAAATGTGCAAGGAACTCTAATTAGAAAATCAAGAGGGGAAAAAACACGCTCAGCATATCTGAAACGGAAATAATTCAGGGGAAAATTCAAGCTTCAAGTTGCAATTGTGAAAGATTCTACAGGAAAAGGAAGGTCAAACTCCACTGAATGCATTAGCCAGAAACAAGCCTCTGGAAATTGATGGGATAACCATCGAAATGTTTTAGCAAGCTGAAGAAGCACTGGAAGCACCCACTCATCTATGCCACAAAATTTGGAGGCAGGTACTTGGCCAACTGACTGAAGGGCTCCATGTTTGTGCCCATTCCGCAGAAAGGTGACCCAACAGAATGCTCAAACTGTAGAACGGTATCATTGATGTGGCACACAAGTAAATTGTGCTTCAGATCATCCAACAACGGTCACAACAGTACATTGACAGGGCACTACCAGAAGTCCAGGCTGGATTCAGAAGAGGATGTGGAATAAGGGATATCATTGCTGAGGTCAGATGCATCTTGGCTCAAGGCAGAGAATACTAGAAAGATGTTTACTTGTATTTCCTTGACTTTACAAAGACATTTTGACTGTGTGAACCATAATAAACTGTGGATAGCCTTGAGAAGAATGGGAATTCCAGAACGCTTCATGGTGCTCACTCAGAATGTGTACATGGATCAAGAGGCTGTTGTGTGAACAGAACAAGGAAATACTGCATGGTTTTAAATCAGGAAAGGTGTGCGTCAGGGTTGTATCCTCTCATCATACTTGTTCATTCTGTATGCTGAGCAAATCGTCAGAGAAACTAGATTCTATGAACAAGAGTGTGGCAACAGAATCGAAGGAAAGCTTATTAACACCTTGTCACATGCAGATGACCCCCCCTTGCTTGCTGAAAGTGAGGAGGAATTGAAGCATTCAGCGA